AGAGTTCAGCTATCTTTTTATGTTACTTTTTTGAATAGTTATTAAATTTTATAATGGTTTTATTGATTTCGAAAAATACCTTGCTGTTCTAACATAAAATTATTATCTATAGAATGTTGAGTTTTTTTTTTAAACTACACTGCATTATTTTTATACCTATTCTCTATCCACTCGTCAAATATCATTGAAAAAAAATGTATTATAAAACTCAAAATATTTTTTTGTCATAACATTTAATTTGTATATGATATACAAATACTATTTACTATAATATAGTATTTATCATATATACAAATACTATATATATTAATATAATATAGTATACTATAGAAATAAAAAAGTATATTATATACTATATTATATATATAGTATACTATACTATATTATATTGTAATATAAATTGTTGTCAAACAAAACCATATAGTCTGTATGGTTTTAGTTAACAACAACAAAGCAAACAACAGTAATTTATCAATTGCAAGTAACTTTTTTTAAAAACAAAGGAAAGATAGCGAGACAATTATCTAACCAAGTATTTTTATTGTTTTATAAATATACCATAAACACTTTATATATAAATTTTTAGCAATTTTGATAAATGCTAAAAATAATACAAATGATTGGTTTTATTTGTTTAGATGATGATACAAATCAAAGACTGAGTCAGTATTTGTGTTTTTAGTATTTAACTGTTTGTTTCTAGTATTGAGTTATTTTACTTGTATGTCAACCTGGTATATTTTGTAATAAAGTAGAATATAAAGTTAATTTGTTATAATTATTATAATATTTTTGATTAAGAAAATATTAATTAGAATAATTTTTTTATATACTAGTGTGAATAAAACCATCACCACCACATCCATCCTAACTATAAGATACATTTTTAATGTTTCCTTGGGATGAAAAATGCAATAATAACAACTTTTTGTATGAAAAAACCAACTAACTTCATTTAAGTGCACACTTTTATGGATAAAATTTGCATTTATTGGACAGTAAAGGCAGTGGTTAAGTGCCCCCTTTAACTCCCTGGAAGCGTCTAATGACTAGTGACCAACGTAATCACATAGCCCTTTCATACATCTACCTTTTGATACCAAGATGTAGTTTTTTAGTTAAGTATTGACAAAATTATAACAATTTTACTGATGAAAAATTTAATTTTGACCACAGTTTCTTCAACAACTCCATATATAGAAAAATCGGTACTTAAAACATCATAACTTTTGGTAGGTTTGTTGGATTTTGATAATTTTTTCACCTCTAAAATACTGAAGCTCTTTCTAATGATATATAACAATGTAGTGTATAATCAATTTAAAAATTTCATGTCACATACCTATATATATATATATATATATATATATATATATATATATATATATATATATATATATATATATATATATATATATATATATATATATATAAACATATATATATATAAACATATATATACACATATATATATATATATATATATATATATATATATATATATATATATATATATATATATATATATATATATATATATATATATATATATATATATATATATATATATATATATGTTTATATATATATGTTTATATATATATATATATATATATATATATATATATATATATATATATATATATATATATATATATATATATATATATATATATATATATATATATATATATATATATATATATGTTTATATATATATATATATATATATATATATATATATATATATATATATATATGTTATTATTATTATTATTATTATTATTATTATTATTATTATTATTATTGCTATTACTGAATTTAACATGAATAAGCATTTACTTTGTATATAGTTACTTTACCTTTTTTTTTAATTTGTTAACACCCTTGAATTTGTAAGAGCTTCATTCAGAAATAAATTAATTCGTTAATTGGTTTATCAAACTTTATAGAATAGGCTATTCTAACTTTATAAAACGTCATTAAAATAGCCCATGACTCACATCAAATTTTATTGTGGCACTATTAGATAACTTACGATGCACTGCGTAGTCCTCGACTTCTAGACTTAAAGTTAACACCACCTTGAATGCAGCAGTACTTTACTTCATAATAAACAAGAGATTCTTTGAGCTCTTTTGAAAGTCTTTTTTTAGCTGCTAATATTTTTCTGGAATCTCTTTTCCATAATTGAACAAAATTCAGATTTTCATATTCCTTTATAAAATTTTGCAGTGATGCAAATGAGTCAAATTTTTGATTTAAATAAAAACTTGCTGAATTAATAGCCTCCATTTTTCATATGCACAACATGAGTAAATGTTAGATTTTCAATTATCTTATAATAACTTTTCAACTAATGTAAATTTATGCAATTCAACGATTTCACCAACTTCAAGTGTTAATTTTACCGATTTCTCTTAACTTTCCAATCAATCGACCAATCAAGCTTCGCTGCCGTGACTTAATAAACTAACCAATCAGATTTCTCTGGAGAAACTATAAATTAACCAATCAGTGCTCACTATCGTAATTTTAAGGAAAGAAATTAAAGCGACGGTACCGTTGCGCGAGCAACAGCGTAAAAATATGTAAAGGTATTTATTAAAAAAAAGAATTTACTTTAAAAATAATTATTGTAACTTTTCATTGCGATATATCTTTTATTTTTATAGCAATTAATTTGACACTAAACTTTTTATCCAAATATTTAGCAACATGAAAAATTGTTTGTCAATCCTTAACTACAAATTTTTTGCAATGTTTTTAATAAAAAGTAGTAATTTTTTAAAGTTTTTAGTAAAAAACTTTTAAAAAATCTATATTCCATATTTATAAATACAGAATATAAAAGTTTTTTGTAATATAGATTTTTTATTAATTTTTTACTGAATTTATAATAAAAAACATTTGCAAAAAAATTTGTAAATAAGAATTGACATTTTTTTTAAATAAAATCTTAAAAAATGTCTTAATATTTTTGTTATCATGTTAAAAAAAATGTCTTCGCTTTTCTAGTTAGTTTAATAGTATATAGCTTATAGCTTATAGTTAGTTTATTAGTATATAGCTTTTCTTATTTGTTTATTAGTATATAATTCAAGTTATGCAGGGGGAGGGGGTCGGCACAGAAAAAAAAAAATTACCTGTTACTAACAATATTTGAATGAAGACAATTAGTTAAAATTCTTCTGCGTGCGATTCAATGAGTTTTTTTTTTCATAAATCAAGTTATAATATAAGGTAAAGAAATCATGAGTAGACTACAACATCCGCTGATGACACTAATATTACGTTGAATATATTTATATAACGGAGGTTTTATTATGCACGCGCACGTTACAGGTTCCGTTAAATAAATACTAAGGCACGTTATAGTTTAATGACAGTCTCCATTTTTTACTAATGAATATGTATTTTTCTTTATAAAACAAAACAAACTAGTATATAAAAACCTTTTATATTTATATTATCTCTAAATTATTTAAAGTTCGAATATGGATTATATTTTGAAGGACAAAAGATTTACTTTAAAAACTTTTAAATCTTGGGACTTTGCCAATGCTTTGCCGATGCAATGATCACAGAAAAAGAGAAGACTTACGTTATTAAAATCAAATGTAAGTTATGTGATCTTCATCAAAATAAAATATTATCCAAAAACAATAGTGCCATAAGGGCATTTGCCCAACGGTTTATAAATAATACAGGTCATGTTAAAATATTTTAACATGTTACTATATTTTAATTAAGTTGATATATAATTAAAAATAAAAATATAGTTCAATAAACAAATTAAATTTATTCTTAACAAAGATTGCCTCATATTTATTCTTTTTTTAATTTTATTAAGTTAAATTGCTTACAAACGAAAAAAAAAAAAAGAGTTTTGTAATTATACGTAGAATGAATATACTTTTGAGTTTGTTTATAAGTTAAGGAACTTAATTTTTAATAAACAAATTTTTACGAACGTTTATTATAAACAGATACGATTCAAATTATTAAATATACTTAAATTATTTCAGTTGAGTGTTTTTTTAAGTTTGCACGATTAAAGTTTGGCGTAGAAGTATTTGTTTTTTTGTTTTAGTTTTTTTTTTTTTAGTTGCATAGTTAAGACTTTTATATTTAATTTAATTTTTTTTTTAATTTCCTAAAATTAAAAAAAAAAAAAGATTTAATCGTTGAAAACGATTTTTCTCTATAGCTTTGTTTCTTTGTGATTTATTTAAAAAGTTAAATATTTTTACAATAACACGAACGAAGCGTTATAAAGCGAACGCGTTCTAAACTACGTATCAAAAATATGCACAAAGCAGACAAAACTTTTTTATATTTTTATAAAACGCAAGTTTGAAACGCTTTTAAAAATTTAAAAAATATTTAAAAACTTAAATTTTTCTTTGCTAGTCAAAACAAAATCGTTGTTTAAATAATTAACATGGGTTTGCGTTTATCAATGTTAATATATTTTGTTTACTCTAGAAATTTTTAAAAATAAAAAAAATCGTTATTATTTTTTATTCAATAACGATTAAAAACAATTATTCAAATACAAATTTCAGAAATAATATATATATATATATATATATATATATATATATATATATATATATATATATATATATATATATATATATATATACATATATATATATATATATATATATATATATATATATATATATATATATATATATATATATATATATATATATATATATATATATATATATATATATATATATATATATATATATATATATATATATATATATATATATATATATATAAATATATAAATATATATATATATATATATATATATATATATATATATATATATATATATATATATATATATATATATATATATATATATATATATATATATAGTATATATATATATATATATATATATATATATATATATATATATATATATATATATATATATATATATATATATATATATATATATATACATTTGTGTTAATTTTAAAAGAATTATAGAATTAATTCTTCTGCTCCTAGAAGTCGTTACCGTATTACAGAGCTCCGCTGACTGGTAAAGAAGAAAAAACTCAATATATTAAAGCGAGTATAAAGTCTGTGTTAAAAATAAGTTATTTTTCGTCTGACAAAATGTAAAACTTTAAACAATTAATTTACGAAACTATTTTTATTAAGTTTACCGAGTTTTGATTTTTTTGTAAAATAACAAAAGTTTTAAAAAGCGGCGACGTACATGGTAACGATAAACTACAGTATGAAAAGATGCAATACAAGATTTATATTCTTAAACTTCTGAGCGCAAATATTATACGTTTAATATTTATAGTAATTCTTTCCATTTTATTCGTTGAGTCCAAGGATCGCTTGAAGACTTTCGAAAAAATATTCCTTCATTGTTTCCTAAAATATTGGCTCTTTTAATATATATTAATGTTTTATGTATTAATTGTATTACTCTAAAAAGACATACATTTTTAAAAAATAAAAAAAAAAGCAAAAAAATTAAATATATGCTGTAAAAACAAAGTCATTTTAATAGTTTAATACCTAAACTTACCACGTGTGTTAAAAAAAGACCTTTTAACATCTCTTTGTGCTTACAAAAGACAAAAATTAGTTCACTTAATTTCAAAACCATAAAAGTTAAATAAGAAAGCTAATTAGTAATGATGTCAAAAACTGTGATTTTGCCAAATACCAAATAATCGGCTTGACTCTCCGCCAATTAGCTGAATATATGTTAAAAACTAAGAAAATTTTATCGGATGACACTGAATTCTGAATTAGTTAATTAAACACCGTCATCATGTTACAGGTAACTAGGCTTTATGGTATTGTATGTGTGTTTGCTCAGGAAAAAAAGTTCTAAAGAATTTTCTATAGAACTCAATTGATTTTCTGTTAACTCTAATATAAATTTTATAAGAACTTTTTTTTTAACTTTTCTTTTTTATAGAAAAAAAGTTTTATAGCAATTTCTATAGAAATTAAAAGACATTCTTTAGAAATTCTATAGAGTTTCTATAGTCCATATGTTTCAAAAGTTTATAGAAAGTTCTATTTCCTGTGTCGGCATGTTATTTGTTAACTATTAGTTATATCAAACATTGTTTTTTACGTATTACACAATAGGTGTAATTCTATTGCGTAAGCTTTAGAACATTTACGAGCAATTGTATTGTTTCCGGATTACACTAGTTGTTAATGTATTTATAGGGAAGACAACAAACTTGCACTTTGTTTACTGTGTAAAAACATCGTTGCGTGGTTCAGAAGAAAAGCAAACATGTATATCAAAACATGTTTAATCTATCTTTTATTTAAACATATTTCAAAAATGTTTTAATAAAACATATTACTCACGATGTATTTATTTTGTTCCGTGTTCTTTTGCGCAGTAGTTTCTTTATTTATTCTAAATTTAAGAAGTGTTTCCAGCTAAAACTTATCTGAAAAACACATCCAAAACAACCTTTCGTAGCAGAACGCAAAGTTACCTGATTCTTCACTGGAATGCGGGAGAAAACATGACGGTTCACTTACTTACACCAATTTTAATATACCAGCAGTAACAGATATGTTAAAAAAGACTATTATATTACTTAACTGAAAACATAACATTTTTTGGTTCACATACAGGTATCAATATCGCAAAAGTACTTATGCTACAGCAGAAAGATGGAACATTTATAGAAGCAAGATCTTTATACCGAATATAATTCTGCCAAGTAATTTATTCCTGCTTAATGGCAGTTAACGGAACAATGTATCAAACTTCTCAAACCGTTTAAAGAAATTACAACAATACCCAGCATAGGTATTTTGTGAATTTCTGAGGCCATTCCATATGTTTTTACATTGTTAAAATACCTGGAAAAGAAAGAGACAGTATAGAGAATACCAAATTGATCAAAAATGAGATTTTTAGTTCAATCAAAATATGATGAGTTAGCAACTTTTCTTGACCTGCGCTATAAAACTTATTTCTTAGGTATTGTAATAACACAAAGAGCAAAACAAAAAATTCATTTAGAAGCTCTGAAAACAAGATTTTGAGGACTGATGTCTAGTAAGATTAATGGTAACTTATCTTCACTTCAGAAGATGAAAAGTATCAAGGAAAACAAGGGAAATAGAAAATAGTTTACTGAAATGTTTTGAAAAAATTGCTACAAAGAGATGTCAAACAGAATAGATCAACAGCAAACAAAATTGATTTATATGTGTAAAGTGTTAGACTAGATCGTAAAGCAAACCTTTTTAAGTTGTGGTCAGCGTTATTATGGCAATATCCAAGGCTAGTATAAATTGCTAAAATTTATTATTTGTTTCAAGGTACTTGTGCATATAGGGAGTAGCTATTTTTGGAAGCAAGTATAATATTGAAGAAAATGCGGAATTGTTTGCTATCTACAAATGCCAAATAAAAATGTTTTTGTTTATAACAATTAAAGAGCTAACATAAAAATTATGTTTTTTTACTGGATCAATTGTGTATAAAAATAGAATGAACTCATTACTAACTTGTACCTTATTAATTAATATTATTATTTCTTTTTAAAAAAGTTTTTTGTGTATTGCTTTAGTAAATGTTAGCATTTATCAGAAATTCTAATATGTAAAGCTAATATTTTTAAGTAAAAAATTGAAAAAAAATCATTTTGTGTGGATCTGTAGGACAAATATTTTTTGAATGTAACTTTAATTAGCAAATTTTTATATGAATGAAATAAAATACTAAAATTTAAAATCGTAAAACATTTCAAAAAACATTTTTTTTTCCTTTTAAAAAAGTTTCATAATCTAATAGATATTTCCTGTTCAAGGCAATCACACAGTTCTTCTTTCAGTTTTTGTTGAGATGATGTTGGTAGAACAAAAATGTATTTTTAAAAGTCAAAACGTCTATCTTTCAAGTCTTGCCACTCAATCACAAACATGCTGCTCAAAAGTTTTTTGACATTTTTTTTTTGCAGTGATAAAATGCCTTAAAAGCACCTTTTCAAGTGTTAAATTTTTTAAATATATTTTGTTTCGTTTAGTTAGTAAAAGATTTTGCATTGCTTTAACTTTGATCGAATTTTTGTTATCTTTCTTTTTCTTGAAAAAATAGACTCGTTTTACATCGCTTATCAATGGAAAATCTTTATAGTTTTTTTGCAGTGATTTTGTGTCTTTAAATCCAAGTCTATGCCACGTTTTCTCACTTTATCTACTTCTGACTAATCGCCATAATATTCACAATATACTTTGGATAAAATAGTTTGGCATTTTCACAGCACATATCAGAAGCTAGAGACTTGAATCCTAGCACAAAAATCAAAAAACGAGGCGGTGGTGTACTTTTTTTTATAAAAGAAAACTTGCAGTATATTATTAAACCTGACATGAGTAACTCTGATGACAAAGCGAAGTCTTAACAATAGAGATTAAAACCAGTAACACCAAGAATATACCTTTGAGTTGCTGTTATTGCCCGCCATCTTGCATAATAAAAAGTTTCAATACATTTTTATTTAATAATTTTTTAAGAAAAGGTTTAAAGGAAAAAAAAACTTTACTTTTTAATCGGAGACAAAAATTGTTTTCAATATGAAACTAATAACAGCAAAAAAACGTTTTATGACGGTTTGTTTCAGAACGGCGCAATTCTATTAATAAGCAGACCAACAAGAGTAACAAAAACATCAGTAATAGATAACATAGTAACAACCGATATCTTGAACGATTCGCTTAAAATAGGTATAATAAAAAATGATTTTTCTGATCGTTTCCCTATTTTCTTTTCTCTAAATCTTGTTACCGAAACAATACAACTACAAAAACAAATTTTTGTCAAACGCTTTTTCAATGAATCAATTATGGAATCATTTAACGATCAAATATCCCTACTTAACTGAAAAAATATTGACTCTACAACAGAAGCAAAGGTAGCCTATAAGACATTCTATGATATAGTTATAAACTTTTTATGATAAAATTATAAATGATTCTAAAGAAATAGTCAAGAAACTATATAATTGCTTTGTTTCTGCTGCGCCTAACCTTTCAAAGAACATTTCAAACATAAATTCATTCAATAATTATAAATTTCCTCTAAACTCTGGTCAAATTGCTTTTGAACTTTCCTTTTCTGAATTTGAAAATGTTTTTTAAAATGCTGTAGCCTAATTAAGCAATTGGTCCAGATAATTCAAATTGAAACACTAATATTTCTTTATATTATCATACGATAATATAAAGAAAACTCTATTTAAAGTTCTAAATTGTTCAATAAGTCAAGGAATTTTTTCGGCACAAATGAAAGTTGCAGAAGTGACCCCTATATATGCAGGTAGTGAGCAATTATACGTTGGGAGTTATCGTTTAAGTTCAGTTTTGCCAAAAATCTTGATAGAATTTTATTTGATCGAATTTTCAATTATCTCTCTGAAAATAATATACTTAATATTATTAATAAAAAAATACTTATATATTCGTAAATATTTCAAAATAATTGTTTATATATAAAAAAAAAAAGTTATGAAGCCAATACAAAAAAAAAAAAAGGAAAAAAAAAAGTGTAAGCCAAATAAAAAAATAAAAAAAATCTGAAGTTTAAAAAATAATTTACCTAACTCTTTTTTAATTAAAAGACAAATATAAAAAAAAACAAACGAAAAATTCTTTAAACACCTTTTGCTCTACTGTAAAAATTTGATTGAGTTATTGTTGCAAAATTTTAAAAATTTAATTTTTAAAGTTTGATGTTTATAAAGTTAAAACTTAAATTAGCTAAACGTTAGGTATTTATAAATGGAAAAGAAAAGTGTTATAATTCAATCAGTAAAAAAAAAAGAAAGTTTTTTAAGGGAGAAATAGTAACAGGCTTATACAAAAATTGTTCAATTATGATGATAAAAACGCAACAAATGGACTGTTTAATAAAATAGAAAAGCAGTGAGGAAACGCGTAGCACAAACTTTATAAAAAAGCTAAATTAACTTTGTAGCGCTTTTTAAGAGAATATATATAGACATGGACAGAATTTAAAAAGAAAATAATTCAATATGAAATTCAAAAGTACAATATTTTAAATGTAGAACTGGTTTGACATTTTCTTAAAACTGTAAAATAACAAAACACAGACAATAGCGTTTTGAACACCAAATTACGTCGTGGTTAGTTAAATCAAGTGAAATGTCAACCGCCTTTGGATAGAGTTATTAAAATAATTTTCAATACCAGCAGTAATCAATTAAAAAAAAACAAAAAAACAATAGAGATGGAAGCCTCTATAAAACTAAACAACAATGTTTGTGATTAAAATTTAATTAAAGATCTTGTTTTAGTTTTAAAAAAGGTCGCGGTTTAATTCAATTAAATTGTTTAAAGACTATTTTACAAAAGTTTTCTAATTTACATTTTTTAATATTATATCAAGATATAGTTTTTTAAAATGATATATATAGCTGCAAAACTTAATAAAAGTAAGTAATATTTGGAAAAAGAACGGACAGTGGGAAGAAATAAAGATGAAATTATAAGCACTGAACTAAATTGAATTAAGGGCAATTGATTTAAAACTGTAACAGGTATTTAGTAAAATCAAAAATAAACCAAAAAATAATTTTTCCAAGTAATCAATAAAAACTAAATTAAAAAATGCACTTAGAACTTTAATTTCACTGATCTGTCAAATACATTATTTATTTATTAGTAACTATATTAAATTTTTAATTTAAGTGTTTACCCATCCATTGATAAGTTTGATATGACAAAATTCGCTCATAGGTTCCCTCTAACTTTACACATGCAGAAAAATTCAAGTTTTTTGTTATGTTTTTTTCAAACTCATTGTTCGGAACTGCTAACCACCTCTCATATCCTTTGTGAAACATCATATATGTTTTTTGATTTCGATGTATAACATACAAATCTCTCGTAAGTTTATGATGGCCAAGAACAGAACCAACGCAAATATCTAGTTCTATAATATTAAATTGATATAAAAACAAAAACTAAAAGCATCAAATTGATATAAAATTAAAAAATGATATAGAAAATAATAATAATAACCGATTCAACGAAAAACAGTTATTTTTTATTTATTTACCATAACCAGAAACAAAACATGATATAAAAAAGTATATACTTGACCAATCCATGCCATAGTTACTTGACACATAACATGCTGTCTGCTGGCTTAAACAATATATTCGATATCATAAATAACTGAAATCTTTTATTGTTCAAAAAACAATTTAATAAAAATACTTTGATCAATAATCATATAAAAAACATTTAATAAATAGTTATTTACAACATTATTTCGACGCTAGTAATAATTATTATTACGTTGTTACATATAAGTTCACGCATGCATATATCCATGATTCTAATTGATCCCAGCAAATGCCACGGCTGTAGCTTTCTAAAAAGGGAAAAAAAACATAATTTTTAATTTTGGTGGGAAATATGTATATTTTTTTTAACAACACTGTTAAAAATATAATGTTAATAAAATGCATTGTGAAAAATCTAGCCCCTTTTTTACTATAGACAATAAAAGCGATCACATAACTTTTATTAAATATGTTATAATATTTTTATTTTTTATTATATACTTTATTAATATATGTTTATTATATTTTTGGTTACAAAGGTTCATACTTTTAATATCGATTGTTGCTAATATAACTGATTGGTTTTCATATAAAATTAAATAATAAGGCTCTCATATTATTATTGATCTTTTGTATTCTAATGTTATACACCCATAAAATTAATAAAAATGAATAATATGAATGAAAAAATGAATAATATATATATATATATATATATATATATATATATATACATATATATATATATATATATATATATATATATATATATATAATATATATATATATATATATATATATATATATATATATATATATACATCTTAACAAAAATAGTATTATAATTTTTTTTTTTTATTATATTGTTAACAGTACTTTTGTAAAAAATAAATTGTTTTATTGAGTTTGGATTGTTTTAATAAAAGCTAAAGCAGCACGTGTTCTAGAGGTATAAATTCATAATGTGACATAATAAAAATATTTAATTTAAACATTGTTTTTTTAAACAAAAAACAATGTTAAACTTTGTGCGTTTTTTTTAATATTATCTATGTATTTTTTTTCGCTCTTTTTTTAAATATTAGTTTTCTCTCAATTTACTTTTATAATTTTTAACAGCATCTTTTTGCACAGTGATTATATTCTGCTTATTAATCTTTATGATACATTATTTAAGTAATAGTAACTTTATTAGATTTTTATTTGTAGGGTTTACCCATTCATAGATAAGTTTGATATAATAATGTTCTTTGACATTAGCACCTTGTTTAGATATTAAGTTTAAAAGATTATCTAAGACTGAAAAAATTCCTCATGTGAAATCCTTAAGGGTAAGTGAAGGCACAGTTAGACCATCTTGTGAAAGTATTTGTGGATATGCGCAAATACTTATATTGCTTGCATCTGTACCAAGCAAAGCTTTGCAATCGCTACATTTGCCTTTTTTATTAATTTCGTTGTTATATAACCAGCAATTGTAGTTGCCACTTCTTCTGTTTCAGGTGATAGAGTTAATTCTGATATCTCATTTGAGCTTAAATCTAATACTGTAAAAATTTTATCATTAATTGAGTTATCATAATAGTTCTTTAAATCTTTATCGAAAAGCTCGTCTATAAGAATTGCTTGAGAACGCAGATTTGTAATAAGAGCAGATGATGTTTGTCTTGATTAGTTAGAAATAAAGATTTCAACCAAAGTTCAATTCTATCAGCTACTTGCCTAAAAAATTTAGTTTTAATATTATCAAAAATAATTGCAGTACCAAGTTAATTAGGACAAAATTTTTGTTTTAAATTTAAAACAAAACCCTTTTTAAAAAAGTACTTAAAGAACTAGAAATGTTATTTCGTTGAGAAAAATAACTTTTACAACTTGCAATTGTTGTTTTATCAAAAATATACAGTGCAAGAGAAACATTTTGCTTTTTATTATCAGGGTTAAATATTAGAACCTGATAATTGCTCTTAAAGCCATTTATCACTAAATAACTACGGTTACTGCTTTTATTACATAAGGAACAGCTTTCTTTACACTAACAATCATTAATGCAACTACTCCTTTGTACAGAGTACCATTGTTATCTTTACCCACATAGACACCACTACAATATTGTGCCTGTTTCTGAATATAAAATTCATCTACAATTAGTAATATATCTTCATATATCTAACCCTTCTCACGAAATGTTTTAACAGCTTTTATTACATCAACTCCACCTTGTTTTATTTTATTTAATAAAGAAATTGAAGATAATGAAATCAATTTAAGTAAAATTTCATATGCTTGTTTAGATATATATTTTAATAATAAGGCGTGTCTGATCATGTCTGGTAAATATTGTGGTTGACCTTTTGCTTTTTAGTATATTATACTATTTTTTTACTCAAGAAGTATATTTCTATTAGAAGAAGCTATGTTTTTTTATGTACGATCCAAGATTTTCTAGCTTACTCAAACTAGTTCACTTGCAATTAGTTAACCATGGAGATAGTGGAACATTATTACTTTTATATTGCAAAGCTACACATAAGCAATGATCAATTTTTATTGATTCAAGAACAGAAGGAAAATGCGTTAAAGGTTAAGTTGTAATAAATAACACAATTGCGAATTTTTTTAAATTGAAAACCTTCTGGCAAATGTTTACTGTTTAACTTGTTCCATTCAGGCGTTTTATTATTTTCAGAAAAAAAACTAAGTTCATCTTGGCGAGAATACGAGTTTTAGGTGGACTTCTTAAAGCAATAGGTGACGGTAGTGTAGAAGGCCGTTTTATGCATTTGTTATAGATAATTTCAAGAATATGGTTTAAATTCGATTTTAACTTGCTTTTTATACCTCAAATAATTTACTTTTTATTAAAATGCTTTTCACATGAGACATAATTTGGTGAAGACATCCAATCACTACGGTTTACAAAACGAACCTAAAAAATTAGTAACTGTTGATTTTTTAATAAAAAACGTAAAGAAGCAACTTTTATATCTTCCAAAGAACTGTTGTATCCAGTTTTATAACCATATGCAACACACTTGTTAACCATAATATTCAGCTTTGCAAATATTAATAAATCTTCTAAAATAGCGTTATATATATATATATATATATATATATATATATATATATATATATATATATATATATATATATATATATATATATATATATATATATATATATATTATATATATATATATATATATATATATATATATATATATATATATATATATATATATATATATATATATATAGATATATATATATATATATATATATATATATATATATATATATAGATATATATATATATATATATATATATATATATATATATATATATAATATATATATATATATATATATATATATATATATATATATATATATATATATATATATATATATATATATTTATATATATATATATATATAGATATATATATATATATATATATATATATATATATATATATATATATATATATATATATATATATATATATATATATATATATATATATATATATATATATATATATATATATATATATATATATATATATATATATATATTATATATATATATATATATATATATAGATAGATAGATAGATAGATAGATAGATATTATGTCTAATAACCTATTTTAGTAATTGTTGTGCATACCTAATATACAATCTACGAGTTTTTCTTAATAAAGACTTTTTTTTTCTGTTCATTAAAAAAAAGTTCTCCAGAAAACAGAAACTAATGCAAGCTTAAATGCTTAAAATATTTTACACATTTGTTGTACAAACATATCTTTGAGGAAATAAACTTTAAATATCATTTAAGAAACATATCAACTGAGCATGATCGTTGATGATCGTTGATGATCGCCTGATCGTTGATGATCGCCCAATAACATTTTATTAATACGTTATATGTTAAATTATTTTAAACAGTTACACAATTATGTTTATATTTATGAGAGTTTGATAACTAAGCAACTAATTATCGTTTTTTTTTAAATAATATACAACAGTTTGTTTTCTTTTTATATTTATTACTTTATGAAGAAAAAAGGTTTTATTTTATTAAAAAAGTAACCATATTCTTTTGGATTTAACCCCTATAATATTTTTAAGCTACGTTACTTTCCGTTTGTGTAATTCATAAATTGTCAATTTTAATTAGAAATCGCTAATAATAATTGTATAAAGTCCTAATTTTTATTTTAGATTTGGTAATTAAATTTTTAGGTTAATTCTTCTTCTTCAAAAAAAAATAGTAGAAGTTTGTTAAGAAGAAGTAAAAGGATACTTTTTAACTATACTTTATTGCTTCAAATAAGTGAAATTCAAAATAAAACAACTTGTCCGAGAAAGTGTAATTAGAATAATATCAACTGATTTAACAAAATATTATAAAGTGTTAAATAAATTGTTTAAGATAAAGCTCACAATTATATGGTTTTGATAAAGATATTAATTACTCTCCATGATAAAGATATTAATTACTCTCCATGATAAAGATATTAATTACTCTCCATGAGATTGTAAAAAGTGTTAGAAAAACACTGAAAAATTTTCAGGTTAAAACCTGACGAATCCATACCTGTACTACGAAAGATGTATATTTTTCGTACTGAATGTCTTACAGGACAAACGAACACTTTTAATAAGTATAAAAAACCATAATTTTTTTAAAATAAGAAAAATTTTTTCCTCAAAAGTTTAATGTTTTTACATTAAAAATGGTTTATGGCTAATTGTTTCTCTTTAAAATTAAGCTACATTATGAGTAATAACAATTGTTTTAAATTAAATAATGGCACTAATGGTTTACCTTTGTTTTACAGTTTTAGATAAACTCTGGTCAATCACTTTAAAAAGTAATAAGATTAATTGTTACCTGCTTGTTGTAGGGTTGTATTTTGGTTATAACTAATTTAAATCATGTCATTACCATGCCTTTGTTTCATTAGCTGATATTATATTTGTTTTTTAGGTAAATGAATAAATAGTTAAATTCAACCTTTTTAATTGTAATTAGCATGAAAAATATTTATGGAAGTGTATAAAATACTATTTACTTTTAACTATATCCACATTTACACGGTCAATATAGTGAGTAGGATTGTTTGAAGCAATAATAATCTAAATTTGTGCATTTAACTCGCATTTATTTAAAACACACACTAACAATATATATATATTGTTAGTGTGTGTTATTGTCATTTTATGACAACCGCATTATTTTATGTATTTACTAAAATTGGTAAACTTAAAATACACCTTTGTAAATTATTACTATTGAAATATGGCAAAATTTACAACAAAAAATATAATAGTTTTTTTAGATTCATTACCTTCAGAAATTATTTTTAAAACAATTATTTTTAAAATAATTATTTTTAAAACAGTTTGGATTTGTTTAAAAATAATCAAACCTGCTTTGAATTTCATAAAAAATAATAAAAACCTTTCAAAGCGTTAGTATCTTTTTCAAATACTTGATTTAAATTATATGATGACTTTACAATTGTTTTAAACGACGAGTATTGGTTACTTGCATATCCCTCACTATCAGTAAACGAAACTTTTAATGGAATCTCTACAGTAAAGTCACCACGCAGTGAGCAGCTTGTCATGTCTAAATTTATAGTCATATATTGATTTATATCTTCTGTCTCAAATGCACCAGGAATCTAATAATAAAAGATTTTATTTAAATAAATATTTTTATATTTTGCAACCTTGTAAAATATAAACTAGCTTTTTTTAAATATCATAGTATTGTTTAATTTAATCTAATAAAAAAAAAAAAATCACATTTATTTACATTTATTTTTCCCCCTCGATAAGGGAAAACATGTTATCTCTAAAATTTTATTCTTGCTCAATTAGCAATATACTTAATGTTCAAAAGTTTAACCATAAAAAATCAAGCGAACCTTTTAAATTTTTAAATTATTTATTAAAAAGTTTTAATATTATAAAAATTAGTTTTTTTATGCGAATAAAACTTTTTTTGTATTTTTATGGTTTCTTTAGCTAAAAATCCAGCAAGATGGATACTTTACAGATACTCTGTTCTCAATTATCAGTAAAAAATAATTTAACGTTATTAGGGATAATTTTATTATAAAATATACACATTGAGGCAAACGATGTAATTACAAATATGCCTATACCTTCGTTTGTTAAATTTATTATTGCGTTTAAGCAATTACAAATTTGTTTTATTTTAAAACATACACACAATTTCTAAAGACAATAAAAAAAATATAACACCTTAAATAAAATTTAAAGTAGATAATACATAAAAATTAACCAAATGCTAAAAGTATATACAAAAAAAGAATATCAAAAAATACAAAAATGTATAGCAACTGCACAATAAAACAAAATGCAGTTTACAAAAAAATCAGAAATTTATGGCAACACAATATATTTTAATTAGATTTGAACAAATATGTAAATTTATTTGCTGAATTAATAAGTAAGATTCATTGTTGAAAGCAATATTTAATTATTGTATGTTTTAAACTGCTTTAATATTAGCGGTTAAACTCAATCATACTGTTTCTTTAATTGTTTTATTTATTAGTTGCTAACTTATGCAAATAGCAATCGTCAGCCCCGTCTCTGCTCATGTCAAGCGTAGGCAGCCGCTTTAGGGCTAGGTCATTTGGAGAGACCAGCAAAAAACTATTTCTTTTTAAATTAATTAAAAACAACTTTTTTCAAACTAATTATCAACATAAAAAAAAATTTCTTTACTCTTTATATTCTATTTTCAAAGTTTGAATGTCCTAAAAATAAAAATTATTTTCTAGCATACATTGTGGAGACAAAAAATATGTCTGCTAAGGGATTGCAAACGAATTTAAATAAGACTTTTTTTTTTATTTGTTTTTTTAAAAGTAATTTTTAAAAAAAAACTCTATTAGTGAAAATAAAAGTGAAACTTTATCAAAACTCTCAGAATAATAAAAAAAAAAGACAAAGTAAGGGTGATCAGTGAATAACTTTAACATGGATGAGCTTAGCAAAAGAACATTCAAACAAAAAAAAATCAAAAAGGCAAGTTTAAAACAAATTACAAATCTAAATGTTGTTGCGTGCATGCTATAGTTGCAAATATTTTTTGCGAAAAAACAATCTAATGCATTTTTA